AAAATAATTGTAAGCATCAGAGTCTTAACTGCTTGTAGTCAAAACAATTTTGTAAGCCTTTATACAATTTTTATATGCTCGGGCTCGGGCTGGTACTTAATTTTTCTTATTTTTTCGCAGGAACCGAAACCTGTAGAAAACGAAGTTGTATCTCATGATCCCGGAAACTGGCCTGCTAACATACCGACCTCTATTAGCGACATCATCGTACAACGAGGACCTGAACAAGTATTTGATGTAGAATTCCCGGTTAATAATCAAGGACGTCGTTTCAGCGTAAATTCCTACCGTAGGCGCATGGACAATGGTGAAGAAATTTCGCGTCCCTGGCTTGTATACTCAATATGTAAAGACGCAATTTTTTGTTTTTGCTGCAGACTATTTGGTAAAACTCATTCTTCGCCACTGACCTCTGAAAATGGTTACTGTGATTGGAAACACATGTCAGGGCTCTTATCTGAACACGAGGGATCTCCATCACATATGCAAGCATTCCAGACTTGGATGGACTGTTCAATTAGGTTAAAGTCTAGTAAAACCATTGATGCGAAAAACCAGGAAATGATCAAACGTGAAGTGGAGCGGTGGAAAGAAGTTATCAAGCGAATAGTGATTTTAATAGAGTTTCTTGGATCACAAAACCTGGCTTTTCGGGGATCTTCGGACAAACTAAATGAAAGGGGAAATGGAAACTTTCTCAAACTTGTAGAGTTTGTTGGTAAATTTGATGTTGTTATTGCAGAACACATCAGGAAGATTACTTCTAAAGAAACCTATGTACACTATTTAGGAAAGAACGTGCAAAATGAAATAATTAAAATGCTAGGTTCAATGATTCACGATCACATTTTAAGTGATGTCCTTAAGTCTACGTACTATTCTGTCATTTTAGACTGTACACCTGATGTAAGCCGAACAGAACAAATGTCGCTAGTTGTTCGATTTGTGCAATGTGAGTCAGGAGAAGAACCCGAAATTCATGAACGTTTCTTGGGGTTCATCCCAGTTGAATCTACAACTGGAGAAGCTTTGACAGACGTCCTTTTAAACAAGCTTAAAGATATGAAACTGTCATTGAAGAATATGCGGGGACAAGGGTATGACAATGGATCAAACATGAAAGGGAAAAACGCAGGAGTGCAGAACAGAATTCTAACACTGAACCCTCGCGCATTTTTCGTTCCTTGTAGTGCACACTCTTTAAACTTAGTAGTGAATGACTCTGCTTTGTCCTGTAATGAAGCTGTAGGATTTTTCATGATTATACAAGAAGTGTATAACTATTTTTCTGCTTCGACTCACCGATGGTCGGTGTTGAAGAAACATGTGACTTCCCTAACAGTCAAACCACTTAGCGAAACTAGATGGGAGAGCCGTATCGATGCAGTCATTCCTTTCCGCTATCAGTTAGGAGAAATCTTCGACGCTTTGTTTGAGTTGTCAACAGACTCAGCTATTGACGCCTATGGAAGAAATGCTGCATTAGGTCTAGCTCGGAAAGTGAAAAACTACAGATTCATCTGCAGCTTGATAGTTTGGCATGCTATTCTTTCTAGAATAAATGTTATCAGTAAGCAGTTGCAAAAAGAAGACTTCAGTATTGCTAATGCAATTGAACTGATATCTAGTGCAAAGACCTATTTTGACAAGATGAGGACTGAGAAAGGATTTGAAGAAGTTCTAGTTGATGCCAGAGAAGTATCAGAAACAGTTGACATTGAAGCATCTTTTCCTCCTGAACACCAAGTTCGAGCGAGAAAAATCAAACGGCAGTTTGATTATGAAGCACCAGACGAGCCCATAGTGGATCCAAAAAAGGCTTTCAGAAGTAATTTCTATTACCACGTCCTGGATTGTGCAATAAATTCCCTTGAAGAAAGGTTTACTCAGCTGTCCAACTACAATGACGTCTTTGGTTTCTGCTACAACATAAAGAAAGAGGACAAAAGCTTACTGCTAAAAAAGTGTGCCGACCTACAACTAGCTTTAACAGATGGGGACCACCGAGACATTAAGGGGCATCAAATGTACCAAGAACTGTTAGTAGTTCAAACCCTATTGCCAGAAAACTGTGGCAGCAAGCCTATGGACGTATTGAAGTACTTAACGAAAAACAGGTTGTGTGAAAACTTTCCTAACCTGTGTATTGCCCTCAGGATAATATTAACTATACCGGTAAGCGTAGCCTCGGGAGAAAGGAGTTTCTCCAAACTGAAGCTAATCAAAAACTACCTAAGATCTAACATGTCCCAAGAACGACTAGTAGGACTGTCACTAATGTCAATCGAATATGACGTGTTACAAAAAATAGATATAGACACTTTTATTAAGGACTTTGCGGAAAAGAAAGCTCGAAAAGTTTCATTCTAACTTTCATTTATCTCTGTCCGTGTCCGTAGGATTAAGTTTGTTTATGTAAAATAAAATTCTATGTTGAATTATACATTGTTTATAATATCTTCATCTAACCCCGAAAAATACTTTCGAACAACTCTTAAACGCAAAACATACACTTTAATGTTTGCACAAAATTGATGGACATTTTTCTACAATAATTTTTCTATTTTGCTAAAGTATTGTTTTTTTTTTTTACTTAAAACTAATTCAACTAAGTAATATGTTCAAATTGAAAACTATATCACTGAAAATTATTATAAACTCACTGTTAGTTTTAATGCTTCAAAAAACCAGTTGGAGGGTATATTTCTCCCATTGCTTGATTTTGATTCAACCGGGAGCATCACCGGGGAGGGGGGGGGGGGCGCCAAAACAGCAGTTTGCCCGGGTTAGTATTTTGCCTTGAGCCGGCCCTGAACTTCTGTACAAAAGTTTCCATTCAAAAAGTTGTTACGATCGCCTCAGCTTAAGTCAGGTTCCTATTACCACATTTTATAAAAATTGTTCCAATATTACTTGAGTTATCGTGTTGACGGACACATCTACATGTATCTGTGTATATTTTGAAGTCTGGGTGTCATTTATTTAAGAATGTTGTTGTTTATTTGAGGATTATTCACTGATACAGAACAAATATTTGAAAGTATGACTGTTTGTTTGGTCAAAGGTTTGGTTCCTCTTGTTAAACGGAAACCCCCACCCTTACATCAGTGGCTTAACTCCTCCCCATCCATTAATTTTAGTCTATGAAAATAGTTGTTTGTGTTGATGGTTGAGACAAGTACTGAACGATTGAGTGAGATATCGGAATTGTCATTCATTAGCTGCAATGTGTATCAATTGTCAAAGACATCTCTGTGTCAAAGACTAATAAACAGACAGACATTCACATTTCCTCACTACTGATATTAGCACATTTTTTAGAAATAAAGACCTTTCTGTGTGTACAGTTGTCTCCTTAAAAATTTGTTGAAGATATCATATATCAACGAAATATAATAATATGTGATGTGGAAAGCGAATAGGGACCTCTTGTCGGATATTTTTGATTTTGAGTTATATATAGGTAGTTTTATTTTTTATCACTTTGTGCAAATCCCATGCATCTACGATTTTTTTTGTGAAAGTTATAGGACTTTGTCATTTTGTTATGGAAAAGGGTCATTTTGAGAAAAACTATTTTGAAAATTTCAAATACGCTTAAAAAGAGTTTTTTTTTTTTATTGAATAAACAATTTTTGTATCAAAAGAAAGCTAATAATGTCCTCTTTGGAAGCAATGCCAATTTTTGTCTTAACTCTCTGTAGTTTTCATTTAAATAATCTTTTTATCGAAGCATGTCGTAAAAATCATATTTCAGAAAAGGGGCCTCTTGTTTCCTTTGTTATTTCTCCATAAGATAAAAAAGGGACCTCTTGTCGGAACCGCAAAATTTGTGATATATTTTGTTCTCCGTGAACTGAACTTTGTTGTAGTTCTCTAAATTTCCACTAGAATGCAGGATAATTCATTTTATTGACTTAAAGTCTGTTTATAAAGTGATTATTAGAAATGGGGCCTCTTGTCATTATGGCAAAATAAACATTGAGCAACGAGAGATACCGTACCTTTTCTCAGACCAAGCAGAGGCTAACAAAATTATTTATTTTGACCTTTTACATCTTCAATTCGATATTTTAACCGCTACTGTCCTGTTCTATGTTAAATGAGGTACCAGTAATCGATAAAAAAACAAATTTCAATATTTTTGACCTTGTTTACTTAAATTGGCCGTAAAGAAAATTGTGCATCGCTGACAAGAGGTTCCTTTTCGCATTCCACATGACATATCTTTATTTTTTTAGTTTGAATTCACAATTAATAATTATTAGTTTATCTTTCAAAAAATGTCTGTAGAATTTAGACTATAATTTGGGTTGGCAAGACCAATAACAATTTGTTGTAGAAAAGTGATACAAAGTCTTATTAATAAGTCTAAATGTTTAATATTATAATGAAGGAATGATTTATTTTTTGTTTAAAATATTTCAGAGTGCGTCATGTGATAGTGATACAGTAATCTGTATTTATTTTTTTGTAATTTTTCCTCATGAGAATTGAACCTTTTGTGCATCCTTGAACAATAATAACATAGTTAAACAGATTCAAATAGTTCCAAAAACTATTTATCATAGAGAGTATGTTCTGTTACTCCTTCTACTGTATCAGAAACTACAATAGACGCCGTGTTATAATTTTTTTTTTCAACCAATCAAAACCGCTATGGGTTGATACCCAAGGATGTGCATAGATCTTGATTTTAATTTGTATTTTTACTTCATATATAATATTTTTGTAAGGTGGTAAAGATTTTTTCCCAATGTGTAAGTGTATGCAAATTTAAGATGAAGATACACTCTCTAACAATTCATCTTCGCTTTCACTCATGGAGTTAATTTGTCTTTGGGTGGGTCACCACAGAAAAAAGATTACAAAAAAATACAATGCCTTCAGCTTTTTTGAGTTTAACACTGGCTATATCAATGGTAATAATAATAAAACTAAATATACAATAGAATAAACAAATTACATTGTTGTACTGATGTGAGCTGTGTTCTGTTCAGGTTGGAGCCGAGCGTCAGGTCTCCTTTGACAACGGCTTGGATGGTTCAGTGGCTGAGGATTGCTTCTTTGCGATGAGGGCCTTCCAGAAGGGCTTTTCATTCGCCTTTGTTGAAGGTGAAATGTGGGAGAAGTCACCATTCTCTCTTTGGGATTTTGTCCAACAGCGTAAACGGTATGTTTTTCTCTTACATGTAAGCTAAATTTAATAAAACTAACATAGTAAAACATAACTAATTTGACAATTTGTGTACCCAGAGTTTGTCAATTTTGGGAGTTGTTCGAGTTATCCAGAACATTGAAACTTTCTATGGGTTTCAATAAACAAACACATAACAGACTGGTTTTTACATATAAATTTATCACCTACTTTAAGTTTTTTTTACATATTGAGTAAACAATAGTCAAAGACACGTTTAATTTTCTACAATTAAAACTAAAGGTTCTAAAAATAGATTTTTGGCGTGTATCCTATCAGCTGTTGACTGTCAAGTTACTGGGTATCGAGTTAGTGATATTTTACTGTATTTTGTGAAACTGCAAACACTCGTCGGCTTCCAGGTAAATGGTCGTATCTCAATTTTGGCAACTTTTCAGGAGGGCCGAAAAACAAAAACTACTGTTATAATTGATGACACAGTTTCCAAAGGGATGTCCTTTGAAAATTGATTTTTTTACTGTTGATGCATGAATACCTACAATTTAAGTTACACACAGATTCATTTCAATATTGTTGTATATACTATGTATTTTACATATGTAATTCAGATACGACTGTTTGCTTGAAGTATACTTTTTGGTATAACATAGATACGACTCAGAAGCCAATTACTGTAATGGATGAAATAACCCATCAAATGAAATTTCTATGTTAAAATTTATAAAGGTACTAATAATAATAAAAAACAATAAATGCATACAAAATTGTTAATTGTATAAAAATTTATTTTTATAAAAATAAAAAATTTTACTCTATCTTGAAATAATTTCTGAAAAAAATATTTTAGCTGAATACAAATTAATTAATAATGCTATGCTACATTTTATCTTTAATAACAAAAATTACTAAAAATAGAATAATAACTTATTGATAAAAGTTATTATTAATAACTTTTTGAGATTCGTTCTTGCATTTGTCTTTAATCAGTCTTATTTTTTCTTTCATGTGATATTCATATTGATCCTTCAAGACTTGTTTGACAGAATCATTTCCTTGGCGGAAGGTCATAAAAAGGGAACATTGGTCCTTTTTTGGACGGTGGAATGACAAATTCTTAGAGGAAAAGGCCCGTTTGTACGTTGACAGATTTGAGAAATCTTCTTTCAACTGCTGTTTACATTCTTTCTTGAAAAGCTCGTACATTTTTGGAAGTGGCAATTCCGGGTGTAAGTAATCCCTTGAGGATACAATAATGGGATTCAACGTGGGGTAATCCATTAATAAGATTTCTTATTTTCTAATCTAAACAAAAATTAATAATTGCAATGTTTTACTTTAATGTTAGTATTTTGGTTGAATTTTGAATAAGAGATACGACACTGTTACTTATCAATAACATGTCAGACGAATAGACTTATATTGAGATACGACACTTGGGATGACTTGGTCGGTACACAAATATTCCAAGCAAACTGTCGACCATTCCTCTGACAGATTTTTCCAGTATACTGAGATACGACGCACAATTCACAAGCTATATCTCCTGAACTAAAAAAGATAGAGATACGACGGTTTGTGTGATGTGTAGAGACTGCCTGTGAGATTCAGAAACCGTCGTAACCTGTAAAATCAAAATATTTGAGATACGACCATTTGCCTGGAAGGCGACGCACTGAATGTACAAAGAATCTTAACTTAATTTTGAAATGCTACTTTTACTGCCCAGCAGTTTTTACATTAGAAGTTTTAACCTTTTATTTGTATACAAAAGATCCAAAGAATATTTTAAAAGAAAAAAGTTACAGTAAAACTTCGTCCAACCGTACCCTGATAAACCAAAACCATGAAAAAAATTCAAATAATTTAAAATTAGTTAGGCAGCAGGAAGTCCTAGCACTGGTAGTTGGGCTGGCTTGGCCACCAAAATGTTATGGAGAAGATGATAACACGCATCTCATTCTGAGAGATTGAGATACTAGAAACTCGTCAATGATAAAAAAAAGATTTTGTGTATACAATGATTGTGGATATGATGACCGTAGTTAAAGTAGCATAAAAATACTGTTTTAGATCTCTCTAGAACTAAAAATCCCTTTAAAATTCAACCATTTACTAGTCAAAACGGTATGTTAACTAAAACGGCCTCGCCCCATTTATTTAGCTTATTAGGGTTTTACTGTAGCCAGCCTGCCACACACAGATATGTTAATACTGTACCTGATTTACAGGTGGCTGCAAGGCATTCTCCTGGTGGTTCACTCCAAGCAGTTGGCTGCCAAGACAAAGTTTCTCCTGGCCATCTCCTGCTACTCCTGGGTGACAATGCCTCTCTCTACCTCTAACATCGTGCTGGCTGCTCTGTGTCCGATCCCCTGCCCACCCGTCATGGATTTTCTCTGCGCTTTCATTGGAGCAGTCAACATCTACATGTACGTGTTCGGTGTCGTCAAGTCCTTCTCCCTCTATAGGTTCGGCCTTTTGCGGTTTTCCCTATGCATTGCAGGCGCTCTCTGTACCATACCTGTCAACATCTGTATAGAAAATCTCGCGGTAATTTGGGGACTTTTCGGGAACAAACACAAATTCTACGTGGTCAACAAAGAGCTGAGGCCGCCGGTGACGGTTTAGAGCGTTCCTTCATTCCATCAGCACAAAGTCACCTTCATCCCGGTCCAGCTCTGTTCATCTGACTCTACAGGGTATGAGTGTTTTGTTAGTTTTTGTATCCAAGACTGATTTGTGTTTTCTGTACATAAGCAACGTTGAAAGAAGTTTTATATCGCCATACAATACTTTGATCAGTGTTATTCATTTACACTTTTAAGTCTTTGCCTTATTTTTCAGTTTGAATCGCTACAAAAGTTCACCCTTCATTACTGATTATTTGCCATTTGGAAACATCCATCTGATTGTTAACAGATATATAATGTATGTGGTTTATTTACCAGTAGAAGTTCTTGTCCACAGTCAGATTGACATAGCTGCAGCTTAACACCTGAACTGTACTTACCTAATGTTCAGTCATATACTGGATCTCGCCTGAACAAAGAATGAGGTCTTACAGCCGAGTTTGTGTGCATCTTGTAAATATTTATCACTATTACATAAAACATTCATTTTGTAATGTTTACAGTGTTATATAATATATATATATAATTTTGCTGCATATTAGATTGTTAATTTATTTGTATTATGAAGCTTAGGTACTTAAAACACTTCCTAAGCAGCAGCACGGTTATTTTTTGGTTAATTTTACAAAAATCGTGTATTTGTTCATTTTAGCATATAATTCGTGCAATTCTTTAATCACTATCAAATTGTCAAAGTGAGTTAAAGCAAAATGTATTACCACACTTAAAAAGATTAAACTTTATACTACAGTGATAATTTTGACTTACCTAAATGAAAACTTCTGGTATATTTTCAATTTTGTATAAATGATGTAAAATAAATTCTAAGTTTTAATTGGTAGTATTTTTATACAAGCTTGCAAACAATATACTGCTGAGCAGTATAATGAGGGTTTGCAGTCTTTGTCATAAAAATTAAGTTGAATATATCATCGGTTAGTAACTATTTAACCTTTAAAGTTAACTATTTAACCATCTATAAAACACAGTATACTGTATTTTTCTGCTAAAATGACCAAATACCAAATAGAATTGTATTTGTTTTGTGAGCCTCATATATTGAGGTTTTATTGTGATATATTATTAGAATTTTATAATTAATTTTTGTCCTTAAGCAAGCAGCTCTGTAGAAGTGCCAGCTGACTTAGATAGTCGTAGGAACACTGACATTCTGTAGTTCTCTGGCAGAAAATACTCTTGCTACAGGTAATTTGTGGCTAATCACTCTCACGATAGATTTAATTATTTATTACTTGCACATTATAAGCCAACATATCTTTTATTGTATATTACAATTATGTTTTTATAAAGTAAAAATGTATGTGGTATTGATTACTCAGTTCACATCATAACTGTGTTAAAAAATGTCTATATTTCTTAAAAGTTTCTTTTTTAAGGCTCTTGTAATCCTACGGTTAAACCAGGGTGAAATGTTTGTTGTTTTTGTTATTAATTTTAAAATATTTCTTATCAAAACAAATATTATAATACGAAGAAACACTCTGGTATGTGTTAGTTGAATTGATTCAACAACAACTTTACTTGTTATTATTAGAAACTAAAGTCTTAAATGGAACCTAGTTCCGTTCTATCAGTGATGTTAAAAAGAATTTGTATTGGAACAAAATTAAATTTGTAACATGCCCTATTTTAGGTGTTGTATTGTATGAGGGGCGATGGTCACAGCACGTCAACCGAAACTTATTGTGCATTAATTTAGGTAACTCGTTGGATGTGATTAGTGTTCATATACCTATAAATTAAATATAGTTGCATTTTAAATAGAAGTACAGTCTGTGGTGGTAATGTAATGTAATTGAAAATTAGCATAAGGAATAATTAATTTTTAGTAATTGCAATTTCTTGCCCAAATGTTTTACTTAGTAGAATTTCTTGCTTAGTAAGGACTTAAAAGTTTTATTTTAAAATGCTAATGTTGTTATCTTTTCTGTTTATTTGGTCTCACAATTTTTATTTGAGCCATAAACCGTTACTGTACAAAATTACAAAAATCTTCTGAACAAGGAATTTATTGCATACTGGCTATTTTCAGTACAAGTAATTCTTTGTTCTATCAATAAATAGTTATTTCTATTTGCATCAATTGGCTCTTAGCTAATGGTAATAGTTTGTAATGATTATTTTTAAAGATACTTGTATAGCCAATGCAAATTTGTTCATGTCCTGTAACATCTAAATGCCTTGGCCCACTTAAATGCTATAGCCTATACGCTTTAGACATATATTATTTCGTCAGCCACTGTATGACTTTATCATATGAATTAGTACTATTCCCTAAAAATAGTGTTGTGAGGCAATGTTTTGTTGATCTTCAATCAATAAGCTTTTTATCTCGTTTGAGAAATACTTTAAACAGAAGTCAATAAGGTGAACCAAATCCTCAGCTTAGAAGATTAGAAAAATACTTTAATAAACAGAACAATTTAAAAACTTATAAAGTTATGAATTAATGAACAAGTTTTAGCAACAAATTATAAGCTTTAAAAGTACTCTGCTTAACTAAAGCTTCTGAAGAAACGAATATCGTTGAAACAAATTACTTATAATATATTTTAAACGTTTTAAAGAACAAAAATGTGATAGCCACAAATTAACTGTTTACTTAGACCTAGAATGTTTATTACATAGCCATTGCTAAGTCTTGTCAAATATTAGTCTATTCCATCTATGTAATATTCAAGCAAAGTATTCTTAGGTAATAAACATTAAATAATTACTATTGAGTATTTAAAAGTTGAGTAACTAAGTTACATTTTGTTACACAGTACCTACTACTATTGTATTTAGTTGTTAAAATAAATCTAGACTTAAATATGAAAGTGTGAATCCAACTTTACCTTGAAATAAAAGGAACCTGTTTTAATACAACAACTATTTACATTGCTCATGCAATTTTATGAAACCTTTTTATCCATACTGTGTAAAGCCCCTTTACCCCCAATTTAACCGAAACCTGGTCAACCAAAAACATAGAAAAAAATTCAAAGTTAGCCTGGCCAATGGAATTTAATAGTGCTGATGAGTACACAAATGACCTGATATTATGATAAGGATAAAGCTCTTTTTCTTTTTTAAAGAAACAATTTTTTGATAACAGTTGTAGGTTTACAGGTTAGAACATACTCCACTGTACTTTTTCTCAATAAGCTAAGCTATTGATTTGTGCTAAGAAACCTACTTACATCACATTTCCAAGCGGATGGTATCACTACCCCTTTCGGCCCTTTCAAATCTAACCCTTTTCCAAGGCCTCAACCTCAGATTCCCAACAAGTACAGTCTGCGCCACCTAATTGAGGACTATAATAATTATGCATATGAGGATTTGAGGAAATGATTAATATGAGTAAACATCTATGTAGTGAAGTCGGCACTTGTACTGATTATTAGAAAAGTGAAGTTTGGAGGTTACTCAGAAACAGCACTTGGAAATAATGTGTACCTGTAAAATATTTACACAATAAATCATTACTCTTAGAATTATGAATTTTCATATATAAACGCACACAAACCTCACACTTGTATGCAATGCCTTTATAACCGAGTTCAAAATTTAATATAGATTAAATAGCAATATATGCTGGCCTAACTTAAAAATATATAAAACCAAATAGGTGAATTAAAACCAGGTTTAATTGGAATAACCTAGGATACTAAATCCTGAATAATTTTACTACTATGCCGGGTTAAAGCACGGCCGCCTTTAACTCCAGGCCTTCGAAGTGGTTATAAGTTACCTATAAGATTTACCAACAGGGTGCAGCACTATAATTATTTTGCATTTTTGAAAACAGCTAATTTTATCTAAGCAGCAACAAAAAACTTTGATATGCAATGAGAACTGTCAAAGTAGGATTGTTTACAGTTATGTTTGTTTTTAATTTCATGAATAATTTGTGATATTTTGCGAATTTTTAATATATTATTTCTCTATTGTTTAGGTGAAGTGGTAGAACATTATGGCTATGGTAGATGTGTAATACTATTGTATACCGTAAATTTAAAGAAGCAAATTTTATTAAACTGTGTCCTCTCTCAGAATTGCAAACGCTAAGTTAGAGTATAACTGCGATAAGCATTTTACACTTGTATGCCAACCCCTACGAAGGACGGGTACTCTGCTAGTTATTCACAGTTAAGGGAAACAAAAAAAAAAAAACTCTGAAAAACATCAGGCCTTATTTAACTTTGCATTTACCCAGGTAAATACAGTTGACGTCATTACAATAACTAACCAAAATAATTTCAATTGAAGCATATAAAATCGTGACGGACAGGGTATGCTGGAAATCAGTTAGGTACCTAGTTTTTAAGGAATAATCGTGACAGACAGGGTATGCTGGAAATCAGTTAGGTACCTAGTTTTTAAGGAATGTGAAGAAATGTTATCGCTATTAAAAATTACTCAAATTTGTAAACGTAGTAACGTACTGGCACGAATGGCCGAATATCAAATATTGCTATTTGTCATTCAACATTATCAAAGACGAAGATGAACATGGACAACCTAATGTGGCTGTGACTGCTGTGAGTGGGAAACGTTTTTTGAAAACACTAAAAAACAAGAGCAGCTTTTGAAAATGTATAAAGTATTTACAAGAGACGTTGATTATATTGGACTGTTATGATCATCGTGAGTATTTCCATTAGTTACATAATCTTTTAGTTGACTCCTTTAAATTCATCGGAAATTATGACTGTTATTCGTTTTTAAGCAACTCCTGTAACACTTTGCAATTGCTCGATTTCGATCAACATGTACTCTAGTTTCAATAAATTTATGTCCATAAATTTAAATCAATAAAGTACGAATTAATGGGCTGATCGTCACCTGTCTGCCATGTTATCTTATGGGACGTCGGACGTCGGACACTAAACAACCCTACTTGCGTTGCGACGTTGCCAATTCTACCAGGCCGTGGCCTGGAGTATAAGGTGGCCGTGGTTAAAGATGGCCGAGCCGTGAGTAGGGTATTAAATGTACTTATTAAAAGCTGACAATATATTTTTTTTCTCCGACGACGTAGCTAGCTAGACATTTGCATTTTACTTTACTTGCATTTCTTACATTCTGCCTTTACTTGCGGTACGGGTACAGCTCTTGACAAATAAGCTGGCACTCTGCCTAGCGCGGGCAGTGTAGGCAGTAGGTGGGTGGAAGTAAGGAAAAGACCAGACTGCAAACATTTCTTCTGACTCACGGGGTTGACTCTCCGTGTTTCACGTACTGGCCGCCTTCAGTAGAGTCCGGAGGACAGTTTACGCAACTCGCATGACAGCATAATATGATGTTTTTTAAATAGATACTAAGATACAGTACTATTAGCGATCGGTCAAGTGCCAGCTGGAGCAGGTGTCACGAGCTGTTACAGGCACGGTAACGGTAGGTACCGACAAGCTATTTTGTGGTCGTGAAGTGAGGTGAGAACACTGAGCTATTGTTGTTATAGCTCAGTGGAGTGGGTGAGAATCAGAAGTCGTCATTCTGACTCAACAACACACAAAACAAATAGCAAAAAATGAAATTTGCCACCAAACTATAACAAAACCCTCAACAATACTAACAAAAACTTACCAAATACTAATGAAAACCACAGAATAGTCAAATAAATTAGTGCACAACCAGGCTGCATATAATATAAGCCTGCTTTCGAACAAAAAAGATAAAAATACTTAACTGTAATCGTATCGTGATCGTGTTACCATAGATAAAACCATTGACTAAGGAAACAAAAGCAGACAGCCAGCCGTCGTTGCGCCGTGAGTTAGTTCATGATGCGGATATCAGGCAGCGCCACTGTCGATGATGCGAACGATCTTCTTTACCGACGCGAGTACGAGGAACAGTGTTCTACTACTAAATTACTTACGTTTTTAGAATGAAATATACATATTTATAATCTACAAACGCTACAAAACACGACAGTCTAAAAATCATTCAAATTAATTCTAGTGAATTCATGAGTACATAGACGTAAATGACGCTGCAAGCGTATAATTCAATTTTATATTAAGGATAGAACAAAATTATTATTTCAATAAAATGTAGATAAAAGCTACTTTAATACCCTAAAACAAAAAATATTTTCTATTTACTGGGATAAAATGTCTAATTCCATTTAGTACAAAGCAAGCATGCAGTCCTAGCAATGTAAAATTACGGTTTTAATCATTAAAGTTTGCAATTGTGACTGTTGTTGTGTTGGTAATTAGGCCTAAAGCTTTGTTTAAAAATTCAACACGGTACATTTTAATTAACTCGTGAGTTTTTATTTATTTTCTCAATAAACACATGTTAATTACGAAAATATGTCTAGAGAGTCATGAAAAAGGTTTAAAATGTGATTGTTGGTTTTGCTTAGTGCACACTTGTCTGGATTTTTTGAAAAACGTGTTCGACTGTTCATACTATCAAAAATTGAATTTATTTTGCTCACAAAATTTGCAGTGTTTGTAGCGGTTTCCGTTTGTAGCTGTCCAGTTGATACGGCGGTTTTCAAAGCTGCAGATGTAGTGTGGCTAAATACTTGTGCAGCTAGAGAAACTGACATCTTTTGAAAACTATTTGGCCAAATATGTGATGGTGTCAATTGATGAGCTGCTCTGGTTGTTTCACTTTTTATCTCTATTTCATATAACTTCCTGATGTCAGAAAACGAAACTATTTTATCATTACATAAGAAATCATGTGTCAACAAATTGTTCCTCAATGATTTCAGCAAGTGGGGAGGATCGAACAAAGCAAATATCTGTTCTCCTCTCTCTGAAAAGAAATACGGGGTTTCAACGGTCACACCTAGTTCCCTCAATCCTTTGGAGTTTGTAGTTGATTGGTCACAAACTACAGCCTTTACCGTAAGACCTACGTCGTTCAGGTTCTCTATGCAGGACTGTAATGTCAACTTTATTTTTTGACCACTCATCCCTTTCTCCGTAACAAAGTAGCCAACCGGAAGTTTCCATTGGTAGAAGAGCCCACGGACCATGAAGACAGTAGCATATTTCGCAATCCTACTACTTCTTCCAAGACTCCCCATGTCTTCAAACCCCTCAATCAAGTCATATTTTGGAGAATATTCCAAACATTGCTTGATTGACATGTCATCAAATAGAACGACGCAAGCTTTCTCCATCTGTGTCATGCTTTCTACCTTTATTTTAATTTGATTCATAAGTTGTTTGTTAAAACCTGGAGTGTAGCATTCTTTTGAAGAGATCCAAAGCTTGACAGTAGACAGACCTGGCAATACAAATAGTTTACGGAGATATCTATACATGGATGGGGATCTTAAGTATAAGGTGGTAGCCAGAGTTTTTTCGTTTTTTTTCCACGGTTGTCTAATTTTGTGGCTCTGCATGCCAAATAACACCGCTGCTTCTTGGCTTTTGAAACGCATGTCTTCTAAAGCTGTTTTTTTGGAATTGTTTACTTTCAGTAATTTTCTTTTTAGTCGTGAAATCTCTGCTCGTTTTAAAGCTAAAAGCCTGCTCTGGTTTTGATTTTTTATCTCGACCTTGTTTGATGTTTTAAACAGAGCTCGCTTTGCAGTTTTTGATTTCATCATTGGGGAAGCTTTCTCAATCCAGCTCCGGACCGAAGGTGACATTTCTTCTATTACAAAATGTGAAGATGAAGTGCTGACTGATGGGGAAGGCTGCGGCGATGGCTTCGTGATGCAGTAACGCTTCGGAGATATTCCACTTCTCTGAACACGAGGGGATGGACTATCGACGAATTGTTGACTGGTAGATGGGCCGGCTTCGTAGTCAGGTGGAATGAATGGGAGAGGCAATGCTCCTTTCATCAAGCGTCCACTTGGCAGGATATCTTGGGGCCTGAAGTGCCGCTCACATAAGCCCTTCTTGCGAAGCGAAGATGGAGAAAGGCCGATTAAATCTGGATTCCCTGGAAAAAAAATGGAAAATGCACACAATTGAACAAATATAGTTTTCATCACTCCTTAACGAAAGTAACTATTTTCGATAACAGCTGATATCAATGAAAGTAGTCGTTTCTCAAGCTCTAATTTAGGGCGAGGGAAAATCGATCAGCTGATTTTCCCTCGCTCTAAATTTACTTTCCCTCGCTCTCGATTAGTTCTCCATTTATTCACTACGCGCGCCAGTGTTTTGTTACGGTTTAATTTAATGATTTTAATCAGCTGTATGTATTTTTAAAAGTTGTGTTATTCTTTTATTTTGATGTTTTGAAAAACCAAATTTATTGAGAAATATATAAATAATAACTACGGTACTGCACCACATCAAGTGAATGTTTTTTTGAGAAAACCATAGGGAGTTTTTAAAGCTTTACGTTATTAACATACATGTTACATGTTTTGTGGCCTGTGTATTTATATATTTGCCAACGGATTAACACAAATAATACAGGTTGATTACATGGACAGTTTGAATTGTTCTTAAGTACTATAGTTATTTTCATAAATGTAAACGTTGGTTTATGGTACTGCTACTTTTCC